TGTGTGTGTGTGTGTGTGTGTGTGTTTGACCACTCATGGTTGAGTGGATCCTTGTGTTTGGCCCCCACTGAACATGACGAACGACACGTCCAATGTGTCGAGTCCAAAGGAGGGTATAATATAGACCATTGCTTCTCGGAATTCCAGAATTAAAAACTCATTTTTTTAACACTGTCTTGTTAATATTGTTTAAAGGTTACATGGATGGAAAGATTACGTTTAAAAAATAAGAGGAAATTAAAACACTAACCAATTATTTCATGACTTTCCTAACAAGCTCTTTTTAAACAGGTGTATTTTGCATTTATATGTGGTTTTTATATAAAGCCATTTCCGTTTTGGAAAGTACGTTTCTTCTTTGTGGAGTATATGTCCAACAAATTCTAGTACAAGTTGGGAGCAAGATATTTAGAAAAAAAAGTTCAAGAGTTTGTGTAGGGGGATTATTTTTTATCACTCTGTACTTGGCTTTTATTTGTGCGAAATTCTGCCGTACGCTAAAGTATCGTGAGGACGAGGACAGGTCCCATCAGCCAATGGAGTCCTGTAGTTACCTTCTGTGTGTCTACCCTTGAGCACAGACATCTCGGGAGGCGCGGGCGACAGGCTGGCGTGTGGGGAGGGCGGGGTGCCAGACTGGGGCAGGCGGAAGTAGCCCTGTGGGTCACAGGTGTTTGGGTTTTTGTTGTTGTCTTTTATTTTTGTAAGTGTTTTACGGCACTTGCAACACAAAAAGGTCATATGCATGCCGAAGGTTAGAGGTGTTACCACAGAGCTACATACAGAGAAACAAAGAAGGAGATGAGAAAATGACGATAGATGTTTGATAGGAAAGAAGAAGCAAACAATACAGAGCCACCCGCCAACCACCGCCCCTGTAGGTCTAGTACCAGTTTTACGGTGCTTTAGACACAAATAGGGCATACAAGTTTTCCTTTGTCCATTTTGGTGTATTGTTCGGCCTGCTCTGTTCTGCTCGCTGGTGACATGTTTATCAGATACAGCTCTAGTGTTATGTGCGCACTATATTTAGTGTAGCCAAATATTTGTGGCACAATTTATGGTGAAATACTTCCAAAACTTAAAAATGAAAAATGGTGATGATTTTGAGGATGATGATGATGACGACGTTCTATCAACGACACACACCCGAACGCACAACGTACCAGATCAAGACCAGGTTTCTTCGACTTCATCAGTCTGGATTTCTGTGATGTGGATGAAAAAATATCGGTATTTTTACACAGCCGTGGACACAACATTTTGATCATATACGAGGCGTTCTTCTGAACCTGCCTGTCTGGGTCACCCGGGCTGATAGGGACATAACATTTCAGCAGAGAGATCGAGATATTCGATAAATCTTTCTCCCCATTCGAGAACGACTTCAGATCTCCTGTATGCGACAGCGAAGGGACTAACCGCTATACCACACACGCCTCTGATGCTGGAGAGACATAGATACATAGGTACAGAGACAGAAATAATACAGCAATATAGAACCAACAGCTCTGTCGTCACGCACAAAAAATGATTTTTAAAGACCCATAGCTAAAGAAACAACAAAACAACAACAACAACAATAACAACAACAACATCAGCAACAACAACAACAATAACAACAACAACATCAGCAACAACAACAACAATAACAACAACAACAACAACAACAACAACAACAACAACAACAACAACATCAACAGCAAGAGCAACAACAACCACAACAACAACATCATCATCATCATCATCATCATCATCATCATCATCATCATCATCATCATCATCATCATCATCATCATCAACAGCAACAACAACAAAAACAACAACAAAAACAAACTCAACAAAAATAAACACAACAACAACAACAACCATAACATCATCATCAACAATAACAACAATAAAAACAATCAACAACACCAACAACAACAATAAGAATAACACAACAACAACAACAACAACTCGTTACACTTCATCCTCTCGGTTCCGAAGCCTCTCTCACAAGGGAGACAGCCAGATTCAGCCAATGGGACCCCAGCACCAACGGCCAGCAACCATAACTCAAAGTTCTATTTCTCTGAATAATTATTTTACCGGTGACTTCCCTTACCTCAAAAACCTCTCGAACCTTCGGGTGGAAGTCTTCGTCGAGCCTCGCCACTGTGGGCAGTTTGCTGAGGTTGACATGACACAGAAAGGTACATATCAAGTTGTAAAGGCCGTGATTCGATAGAGAGGGTGATGAATGATTGTTTGTTTCTATGAAGAATTTCCACGAACAACTAACGTACATAGCATAACAAAGCTGGCAGTGTGCGAAATGGATGAGGTGCTTCAGAAAACCTTTGAACATCACAGGAAGGGACAGGGTGAGAAACGAGATAGAGAACATATATCGTCTCGATTCCCGCGTGGCGTACATAGATAGACAACGCATGGAATGTTCGGACATCTGTCAAGACTACCAGCAGACAGTATCGCAGCGAGAGCATACAACCAGAGATCTGATGGATACAGATGAAGAGGCAGGCCGGGAAAAAGTTGGATAGAGGGGTCAGAGGAACATGATAATATGATCAAAACAACACAACCAAGAAACAGGCGACACAAGGAACAAGGGAAGGACGTTTGCATCTCCCCCCCCCCC